CCCTCTCTTCTTCTTCTTGTCGCTCCCCGTCTACGCCGCCGGTAAGCTCCACCTCCTCTTCCTCCTCCCCCGGTGTTCTTGATGGATTCGTGGCCTCCTAATGCCTACCCTCTCTCTCGATTTGTTGCAGGTGCCGTGGATTTGCGTCCTCTCGAAGCAAGTGAGTTTTCCCCTTCTCTTTCTCCATTTTTCTGTGCGATTTGAAACCCTAGGTCACCATTGTTTGTTGATCTCGCTGCAGGCACACCAGATCTGATTTCTTGGCTGTTATTGCGGTATGGATCCTTGTTCTTAGGTCTCATTTTTTCTTGTTTTTTTCAAGTAAAAATCCTATTTTGTGTATGCTAATCCTCTTTTCTTTGCTTGTGTGCTTGCACATCTGAGCTCCCTCACCTGCTGGGTTGGGCTTTTGCTGGTGCTGCTGCTTGTTGACGTGGGTATTTTGTATATCTACTCCCCCTCTCGCCTCCCCCCTAATCTATACCGTGCGATAGTGAGTCCTGTATTCTTGGATTCGGATGCATGTCCTACTTTGTGAGATTATGAGCAAGTATATGAAGTTACCATTTTGTCTGAGCTATTGTCTAAGTCTGTGATGATTCCTTTTGTCCTGAGCTATTGCCTTAGTCTATGATGATGCCTTTTTTTGAGCTATTGCCCTAGTCTGTGATGATGAAAGTCTTATTTTTAACATGTTCTAGTATATGATGAATCCTTTTTCTGAGCTTTTGTCTAAGTCCATGGTGATGACATTGTCATTCTGAGCATTTGTCCTTAAATTCCATTCATCATATACTAGAAGTAACTGTATAATTTGAGGCACTCTAGTTCTATTATCTATCATTAAGTTGTCTGTAATTTATTTTATTCATGGACAAATGCTGTTTTTTTCCTGTGATTCTTCATTTGATCTGAGACTTTGGGCAATAGTAATGATGTTTTTTCTGTGATACTACACTTGATCTGAGACTTTGGGCATGTGCAATGATGATATATTTTCTGTGATACTACAATTATGCTGAGGCTTTGGGCATGTGCAATGATGATAACTTTTCTGTGATACTACACTTATGCTGTGCAATGATGATAAATTTTCTGTGATACTACACTTATGCTGAGGCTTTGGCCATGTGCAATGATGTTTTTTTCTTGACATAATACACCTATGCTGAGGCTCTGGGCGTGTGCAATGATGAATTAGGCTATGGCTGAGGAGATGATGCCTGCTGATGAGCTTGTGTTCCCTGCTGAGGAGATGATTTGATCCTGCATAGCTTACTTACTAACACTAACATATAGTTAGTGTCTTAGATAACCCTGCACCTACAATCTAGATCAACCTAGTGGTGGCAATCTGACCATGAGTCCATTGTCAATGATGTGAACCTTGTGGTTCTAAACTTGATATGGGCACCAGTCTGTGCCTGTGATTTGCACAATTTCATTATGAGCACTTGCCTTATTGCCTGTGATGTTTGTTTTCTTAGATCTGAGCACATGTCCATTGTCTGTGATGCTTTATGACTGAACTGAGTACTTGTCCATTGCCTGTGATGTTTTTGGATTGATCTGAGCACATGTTCATTGCCTGTGATATTTTTTGATTGATCTGAGCACATGCCCATTGCCTGTGATGTTATTTTGATTAATCAGAGCACATGTCCATTGTCTGTGATGTTTTTTTTGATTGATCTGAGAACATGTTCAGCTATGACTTGGTATGTTGTTCATGTTGGGAAGGAGCCTGGGGTCTACTCCAGCTGGGCCGAAGCACATGCTCAAGTAGATGGTTTCAAGGGAAACTGTTAAAAAAATACAAAACAAGAAATGAAGCTTTGCTAGCTTTCTATGGTGATCAACCTGAAAATCCACCTCTCCTCCAACCTGTCAGTGCACCTCTACTAAAAAATGATGGAAATGGCAACTTTCGCTTGTGCCACAGTTCATTTATACTTGTAATAGCAGTAGTTATTGCCGTGCTAGTCGGTTTTTTCATTTGAAAATTGATGTAATATCTGATGTCAACTAGTGGACGGTAATGTTACCACTACATGCAAGAGGTGACTAGAACTTGTATGCAGCCAACCAAACAATGATTCATGCATGTGCTTTTTAAATCTACAAACACATGCATGCAACCAAACACTGTCTCAGCCCAGCCTGGTTCCACAGATGCATGCAACCAAACAATCCTTGTTGCATGCATCTGGCCTGGGCAAATGCAGCCTGGCTGCCTGGAGCTGGCCTGGCTGGGCCGGAAAGGGTACCAAACACGCCCTATATATAGTTCTATTTTATATATAAAGTACGGGCAGATGGGCCATCGTCGTTGCTTCAGGCAGGCGACTTCATTCGCCTCCCTTCTCATGAATAAATCTGACGAAAGCGTCACATACTTCTATAAAATTTCTTGCCTCCCCTTCTCATCGCAGGCCGCTTAGTTCGCTACCCAGATGAATGAAATAGCAGAGAATGTAGCGGTCATAGTTGATGAACATATAGTTCCTATTGATTTTGTGATTCTGGAGATGGATGAGAATATTGTATTGAGCGATGCAACGATGCCGGTGGGGAAGCTTCGGGGTCACCCGTACCCATATCCGTTAATTATCCATCCTCAATTACCCATAAGGGTAATGTCCATTGGGTGTGGATTATCCAATGGGTAAGAGACTTTTGCTGAGATCGTTTCTTCCTTCTCCCGTCGACAGGTAACTCTCGTTTGCCAGCAGGTGCATCGCCCTCCGCCGGCACGGCTGCAGCCTGTAGGCGCTCGTTCGCTCCCGTGCGCAGTCACCGCAGATTGTTTGGAGGGCATCGGCGGGTCGAGCTACACGGCTGCTGGGGCACGGGCGCCGGGGTGAAGTGGCCATGACCGCCATGAGTATGACGAGGGAGCTTCTGCATGACGATGCTGCCGCCGCCCATGGCCGAGCATGTGGACAGCAGGCCGTGCTTGGTGTACGCGCCTCCTCCATGTGCGGTTGTGAAGTGGCCATGGACGACCTCTACAGTCACACGTCCCTCTCTCACCTTCCGCTAGCTTCTAGGCAGAGGCGATGAGCTCCGCTCAGCTCTGCAGCCGGAGCATATAGATTAAATGGATAATACCTCTATTATCCTACCCATACCCACAATCAAATGGATAATCCATACCCTCCCCAAACAGCATGGGTACGGGTTTGGGTATGGACACTGGTTATCCAGTGGCATCGTTAATTGAGCAAAAGAACCCAGTGATTCTTGTGAGGCAAGAAATTTGTGGGTTACTAAATTTTGGTTGAAAAAAAGGAAATTCTGAGGGGAATGTTTTGGGTTCAGATATCCATCCAAAAGCCTCCTCCGACGTTGAGGGAAATCCGTGGGGAAGCCCAAAGCGTGCGCGGCCCAGCTGTTGGCACTCGGTCCATGACAGTCCAAAACTCTGGTCGAAGAGGCTACGGAAGCAGAACACTGCGTTGACTTGGCGCGCCCGAGCGAACCCACGAGGCTCTAGCGCACATGTGGGCCTGTCTCCACCGAATTGGATCATATGTATTCTGCACAAAGTATGTGGGCCTGTCTCCATCGATAATGGAGGTCCTCTGTCTCCACCGAAAATGCTTCGACTTTTGGATTTCCATCATTAGAAAAAGTCCATTTTACCTCCCTAAACTATTCTCGAAGTTTAGTTTTCCTCTTTGAACTCGAAAACTGGGTAAACCACCTCTCTCAACTTTTAAAACCATTCATTTTATCTCTCTGATCCAGTTATAGGTGGTTTTCAAAGACAGTTTTGTTTTTTTCATTTTCATTTATTTTGGCTGAATATTTAAAAAATCATAATAAATCATAGAAAATTTATAAAATGGAAAATCCAATTTAATTGGACTCCATATGAGTAGATCTACATGATAAATATATAATATGGTATGCTTTAGTACAAAGTTTTTGCTATAGCTTTAAATCTATGTTTTTCTGTAATTAATTCATGGATGTAGTTTCTATGATCCAATTGTGGTGAAAATTTTATGGTGGTCTAACTATTGTATGCTTTAACTGTAGTAAAAATTTAATAATTAGCCCACCATAAAAATTTAACCACAATTGGACCATAGAAACTCAAGCTTTGAATTAATTGCAGAAAATCATAAATCTAAAGTTAAAACAAAAACTTTGTACTAAAGCATACCATATTATATATTCACTGTGTAAATTTACTCATGTAGAGTCTAATAAAATTGAATTTTCCATTTTATGATTTTTCTATGATTTACTACGACTTTTCAAAAATTCAGCCGCAATAAATTAAAAAGAAAAAAAAAATACAAAACCACCTTTGAAAACCACCTATAACCAGGTCAGAGAGGTAAAATGAACGATTTTAAAAGTTGAGAGATGTGGCTTACCTCGTTTTAGAGTTCAGGGAGGAAAACTAGACTTCGAGGATAGTTCCGAGGTAAAAATTGAATATTTTCTTCATTTTACTGTTGCGACATGCAGTCATCCTGCGATGACTGTGATGTAAAAATCAGTAAATGTTTTGATCGTTTTGAGTTTCATAAAAATATATAATTCATGACTTTGGATTTGAGATGTGCGCTACGATCGTTTGACTGTGGGAGTTTCTTTTTTTCCTGAATTGGAGTGCCTCAGGGTGAGGGGTGAAATTCTGGTCCCATTTGCTGCTCAAAGAAGTCGGAGTGTCGGACAGTGCAGTGCGACAGCCGACGGGTGGCTTTCAGGCATTACCATGTCTCGTAAGTACAGAGCATTAACATGTTAGATATCACCAAATAATCACTCCTGCACCCTATAACCTAGATCCACATTCATAGTTGTTGCGGGCACAGAGAGTACAGAGATCCAACTGCATACTGATTTGACTAGAGCAAGTGCCAAAGCAACAGCGGGTGATCAAGATCAACATCGTCATCGACTAGCCTTCGTCGTCCTTGGCAGAGCAAAAGGAAAAATCCTCTATCATCGCCGAAGTCCCGTTCCCCGGCCCATGCGCACATTTACGACGTGACGAAGCGGTCCTTCTTCACGGTCAGGAGGATCTCCGCGTCATACGCCGCGACGGCATCCAACACCGTGAGGCGGCAGATCACCTGCGCACCAGCCGCCGCCTGCTCTCTGACCTCCTCCATCTCCTCCTGCAGCGAGCCCGAGCGGAACTCTCCGGGCGGGTCGACGTCGTACACGAAGTAGCAGGGCCTCGGCTTCACCGAAGACGAAGAGCGGTCAGGATTTTCCAGTAGCAGGCGCAGGTCGCGCTTCTCCAGCACCCGCCCTCCGGCGGCTGCTATGAGGTCTCGCGTGCGGTCTCTGTTGTCAGGGCTCATGAAGTCACTCAGGCAGAAGCACAGTACCGAAAACAGTTTCGGTGCCTGCAAGCATATCAAGTGAAGTGACAAGTGAAGTGAAGAATCAGAATGCAGCGATCAGCCTAGGTCCACGCATGAGTGAATGATCTCCTTTGTTGAATGCTACTACATTCATAACTCTGGATTCCTTGAAGCTTTGGAGGCCTATGAGGACATTTTGAAAATCTTATCAAGTCTAGTTTCCAATGGTATAAGTTCCAAGTATTTTGGACTTCCCAATGTTGAGATATGAGCAGATTAGTGAAGACTGCTCAGAAAGTCAATAGTCTTCTCGGGACAGAACGGTGGTTCAAATTTCCGTGCAAAATTGTAACAATCTATAAAGTTTTGTGGGGCATGCTGCACATGACTGGAAAGCTCTTCGAGTCTACTTTTACACTCAACAAACGGTTCATCATTTGAACTTCCCAATAAAGAGTTATGACCAAATTAATGGAGACGGCTCAGGAGGCCAACAGTCACGCGAGACCACTTCGGGAGTCTTCTCGTGGTGACATTTCACATAGACTATCTTCAGAAACTCCATTTTATTTTCACACCCATCTAGGATTTGATAAACATCCCTCCTAGTATAAATATCCCCTACTCTAAGCTATTATGAACTTTTTGATGATTTGGTAAACTACATGATATTGCAGTCGAGCTGCTGAGTGCCTTACTCAAACCTTTGTTCTTCTTAGACTTGTGAAGTGATCCCTCTGGGTTCCCCTAGTTCGCGCTCTACGATTTCCAGTACGGCTGCACTGTTTTGTGTGGATTAGTTCCGGATTGTGCCATGGTGTAGACGAATTGGACGCCCACACTGGTCCTCCTCCTCTCCTTGGATTGTACTTGATGGGTGATGTCCTCGTCATATAATACATAATAAACTTACTTGGAAACATAAATGTTGTTGATATTTTCTACAAATCTAGTCAAACTTAAGAAGACTGACACACCATAGCGACATTTATTTTGGGACAGAGGGCTCTCCTCTGTCTTTTTAGGAAATACTAAGATTTTTTAAACTTGGTGTCATCTAATAAGCTAGCTGGTAACCGAGCAAAATAACAACTTAACTACTCCTTCTATCCTAATAATCAATGAGGGAAGAGGTGGTCATTTGTCAAGCTATTTATTTTGCCTGAAAATCACTTGGATCTCTTATAATTTGGGATGGAAGGAGTAATAGAGACTAATGAATTGGTACCTAGCAGTCAATTGCCACAACTAAGGACTATCTCCTTTTTTTGCGAATAACTAAAGAATATCTCAAGAAGACAAAATTCAATAGTATCCATCAACAAATATCAGCATTGAAATTTCCATGGAGCAAATTTATCCGATCATAGGTTCCAACTTCCAAGAGGTCCAGACTGAAATGAGATTGGCTGGAGTCGTGTCGTCGGGTCTCACTCGCCCAATTCATATGGAGAAAATTCCCTATTGAGCATCGAAATATGACATGGTTTTTATTTAGCACCTAAAGATAAATTTTTCTCAATATAGCATTGGATTTATATTTGTTCCCTATATACACTGCCGTTAGATGTGGCCTCTAACACCGTCAACTATGAGGGGAAAAGACCATATTACCAATGTTTTCATGTGCAGCCACAACACTATGTTAATAGCTAAATTTTATTGTACGGATTTTTTTTGACAATATCATTTTATTACAAAATTAAACATTTTTTGACAATACAATTTTTTTGGACCATGAAATTTTTTTGGTAGTACAATTTTCTTTTTGCACAGATTATTTATGACAATTCTTAATGTACGCTTGGTATGGTAAAAATTATTTATTATCCACAAAATTGTATAGCCATAAATAATATGCACAAAAAATGTACTATAAAAAATATTCATGGTCCAAAAAAGTTGTATTTGAAAAAAAATTGTGCAATAAAATATCATTGTTAACATATTGATGGTGCTACAAATAAAACAGGGGTAAAATTGTCTTTTCCCCTCATACTTGAGGGTGTTAGAGGTCACATCTAATGGCAGAGCTTTATAGGAATCAAAAATAAAACCAATGCTATATTAAGAAGATTTTATCTTTCGATACTAAATAAGGAACCATGTCATATTGTGATGCTAAATAGGGAATTTTCTCATTCATACGAGCCTGAACTTGTTCCTCGGCAACACAGAAAGAAACGAGAACGGGTGTAACAGATCAAATACAGTCAGATACCTATGGCTACAGTAAATCTCAGATTCAGTTATAGATATTTCAGATAGGATAGGATATGATATGACTGGACATCGACATCATGTATATCTAAATTTTAGTGTTGAGATAAGGTTATGGTATGGATACTAAATCTTTAGATTCGGACCGATACATTTCATATGGATTGTCGAGCCCTTGATCGGCTGGTCGAAAAAAGTATTGGTATGGCTCGTGGGTGACAAATCAAACAAAAATAAGGGAAATGCTAGCGCATGGACGTTCGATGGGGATGAATTCCATCGGATGCCCACCCGTACGCCTGACAAGCCCGCCCCAACGCCTGACCCGCCCCCATCCCCATCCGTCCGCCCCACCCCCGCAAGCGCACCCCGCCCCCATCCCCATTTGTTCACCCCCCGCCCCCACAGGCGCAACCCCAACCGCCGACCCCCAGCGCGCCACACGCTACATCTGCCGGCCACCGGCTCACTGCGCCATATTCCCCGGCGCCCTCTAATTCTTCGAACAGCAGGAAACACGTGCAACATGAAACACTTGAATGCAACATACGTCTGAAACAGATGAAACATCTGGAATATACACATGCAACATATGTGTGAAATCATATACAACATCCAGATAGAACACTTGCAACTTGCAACATGAAAACACTTGCTGCAATAGAAGATTGAAACAAATTAAATTTTTTGGAACATATTGTTGCAACATATGTGTGAAAACATATGCAACATCTAGATCAAAACATGCAACATACGTCTGGAAACAGATAAAACAATTTGAACAAGCGCTTACAACATGCCTTTGACACACTTGCAACAACTGCAACATCCCCCAATCTACTTTTGCACATCCATATGAAACAATTTGAACATGCCTCTAAAACATCTAAAACAATTGAAACATACATTTGGAACATAGGGGAGAGAAGCCTGGGCCTGTCGATTTCGGCCGACGAGGTGGGAGCTGGTGGCGAGCGGCTCTGCGCGAGCACCACCCAGCACTAGCACCAGCGGTGCACGCGAGCACCACCACCACCACCAGTGCCACCGGCACCGGGCTTATCTCACCGATAGTGGATGGGGGCGGGAAGTGCCATGACCGCCGGGGTGGAGGGAGCTTAGTCGTCGGAGTGAGAGAGGGCACCGCCGGGGTGGGGAGGGCGCCGTGCCAGGGTGAGGGAGAGCCGTCCACCCCGTTGCAACACCGCCATGCCAGCTCCATGGATCATGTCAGAGGCGAGTGGATCTCGCTCGTGCACCATGGATCTCGCCAGGGTGGGGGAGGACGCGGGGCGTTGGTGCGCTGCGGTAGGGGATGAAGAGCGTGGAAGGCGGGAAGGGGTAAGGATGGGGAGGAGGAAGCGAAGGGAAAGTTTTTTTTAATATACATGCGTGCGAGAGCAAACGGTGGGGGTGAAAAAGCCGTCCAATGTTTGTGCGGTCCATCGGATGGCCGGCACGTAGCATTTCTGCAAAAATAACCCCATAGCTCACCAAAAGTTCAAACTTTTCAATTTCTTAAAAAAATATAAACAACATGCTAGGAATAATAGATACAAATTTATTTTCATAGGAACTATTTTCAAAGAATGACATTAAAGATATGAAGGCACGCCGAATCGGCGGCCTTCTAGGATGTCCACGTAAGTTCTTTTTATTTGGTGGGTTGGATCGAAATTCCACGGCTCAGATGAGATCGGTGAAGCAACTGCACGCATTAAATGAAGTACGGCTTCCTGCTGGTTGTACGTGGCATGCAAATGGACGGTGGCGGTGGCGCGTAGCAGAGGACGGTGGATTCTCGACATGTATGCATGTTCGGTGCCGTATGGTGGTCGGCACGCATCCTCGCATGGTGGTCTTGCCGCTGGGGCCTTGCTTGCATGCTTGCAAAAGCTGCTGACATTGCTTACTTCACTTGTTCGCTTCACGGGATAACTGGTTGCCCGCAAAAAAATATCTCGTCCCCTCCAATCGGCATCCCGTCGTCTCCTCCGCTCTCTCGCGCGTCATTGCCGCCTGCCCTCTTCCTTCCCTCGCGCCATGCTGCTCGCCTCTCACAGTTGTCGCCTCCCCATCGCTTTGCACCGGCGGTGCGCCTCTCCAGCCTTTGCTCCGCCCCTCTTGCGGTGGGGAGGCGGCGACCGACCCCTTTTTCTCGCCGTCCGAGGTCGAGGACGAGGACGAGGAGGCCTCCTCCATCCACATCCACCCCGCCTGCGCCTCGCTGTCTCGACCGCCCTCTTACTTTTTACTTTACTCCTCCCGTTGGCGTCGACGTACAACGGCTAGACCCGACCCCTTGCGCGGCGCACCGGCGCGAGCACGCCCGAGTGGTTGGTGCCCCTCGGCACGGCGCGGTGCCGGCGGTGCATCGTGGCCGGTCTGGTTCCTCGGTGAAACCTAGCGATGCTCCTGCCCAAGGGTCCCACGTTGGAGGTCCGCTCCTCCTCCCGCTCGCCTTCCACGCCTCCGTCCAACTCCTCCAGCTTCCTACCCCACGGCTATCCGCCGCCGCCACCCGACCCAAATTTCATCCCGACTTTCGCAGCATCAGACGCTGGTCGCTACCACCACTTCAGTGGCCGTCGATTTTGTGGGTTCATCTTCGCGTCTTCGCTTTGTGCGCCTTACGCCATCGTCTCTTTTCCTCGCATTCTCCTTCCTCTCCATCACTCCATGCTCCCCAAACTGCTGTCTCCTCAGCCCTTGCTGCTTACTCGGCCATTGCATTGCTCGATGAAATGTCCAAAAGGAGTATGCTTGCTAATCTTTGGTTGCTATGCTAATCACCGCCTACCCATGTTTGTAGGCTTCGCCACGACCTCGATCTGCGCCCACGTATCCCGTCCGTCGCCGTTCTCACCAACGCGTCCTTCAACGTGGTCCTCCCTAGTTTGGTGCCCTCTGCTGCTTTGGGATGCGATATCTTGCCTCCCCTGCCTACCACTTCCACTGCTTGAGGCCGGTTTATCCTCACCCTGAATGGATTAACGAGATGCTATACTCAGGTAGTGGGAAATACACCGGTTTGTTTGGAAGACTCAATTTTGAGTTCCAAAGTGACATAGGCCACTACCTCTTCTTCGCCTATCTATTGTCGGCAAAATGGGATTTGTCTTTCAGATGCTGCATTTTGTTCCACCAATTTGTGATGCACACTTTATACATTCTGATGTGTCTCTTCATCTTCTTTCCAGACGGACCTAGAGATTGGAATTTCGAGTGTAAGTGAATCAATAACTTCTCTCTCAGTTGCCTTTAATTTAGTGATTCCGAGTTTCCAGCCATTCTTCGCAATGCTGATTACGGTTTCATTTCGATTAAATAGTATTTTTACTATCTTTGGCAGATACAAATTCTTTTCCCAATTCACAGAGCAAACATTCCATAGTCTTAGCAGCATATTATTATATTAGTTTCTTGGTGTTGGCACCATTCCATCAATTTTTGGGTGTTCCTGAATCCTCTAATGCAGGAGACGCTGACAAATCACTTGGCCTTGCACAATCGCTTAAATTGTAAAGGTCGGAGGGAGGCGAATGACAGTGATTACAGGTAATTTTTTTGCATGCCACATACATATTTATTGGACAAATATTTATTGGAATTATCCCTTAATTAACATTCCACAAGGAGACCAGTCCATCTTTAGTTCTTCACAAGCATCGTGTGCCCTCACATACTTATCTACCATATACACATATTTCATTGCTTACTTTTGTATTTATATGCTTGGTTCTATATACGGTGTAGGCTCAGTGAGCTTCAGGTTCTACAACTCCTGGATGTCCTATGTGATAATATGCAAGATTATACCTCAAAGAAGGTAGGAAATAAAGAACTATTTTTTTTAGAATTTGCACTTAACAATATGTTATTGATGCCGCGTCCCATCTGTATGTACCGAGCATTATAAACATGTCATAACAATGAACTGGGTTTTCCCTGTTTACTGTATATGCCTCACGTACTTTGAATATGCTAAGCATCTAGCCACCTATCAAATTTTTTTATGCAGTTGGAATGAGGCAAAAAAAAAAGATGGGTTAAAGTAACATACTAGAATAGCTTCGAAACTGGTAATTTGTACCAACTTTTTGCCTCCTGTTTACTCTTCTGATGGGCTGTTAGTATATTCAAACTGAGAGGCCGAAGTGCAATGTCAATTCATAATTTACGTCACAAAAATAGGCTTACTTCTGGCAATTCAGATTCAGTGATGTGAACACATAATCTTCAAGGATAGTACAAAAAGAAATGGCCTTACTAATTGATCCAACACAAGGAAATGAACTTGCATTTTCTTATGCTAAATCACAATGCTGAATGCTTGCGAAGCAGAGAACATGAACTGTCTTTGGATTTTTTTGCTTCGCTGTGATACAACATTTATCTGTACAACGATTGTTCCTAAATATCTAACATTTATAGCTTATTGCCGTTCTTATTGCAGAAAAGAAGGCTGCGGCGCGAGCGCATGCCAAAGGTTTGCACACCTTAGCTGGATGATACAATATTTTCGCAGTAATTTCACAAAATTGGTGATAGAATAGGCAACATACATTGTTTCAAAATTTTCAGTAATTTTCCCAATATTTACTTGCCATAACATAGAATGCATTGGTCAGCCTAAGAGCGAATTCCCCTTGAATATTTGACAAGACATGTATTGTTCCTATCCTACGATAGTTAGTTGCTTTCCGCAGAACAAACGATGCATTGGTCAGCCTAAGAGCGAATTGCCCTTCAATATTTGGTAAGGCAGGTAATGTTTCTATCCTACCATAGTTAGTTGCTTTCCGGCTTCATTGAAACATACTTGACTTCGTGCTTGTCAGTCTCTCTGTGTGTGTGTGTGTGTATATATATATATATATATATATATATATATATATATATATATATATACATATATACCAATTTAGAGGAATTAGCTATATGCCAATACAGATCCTACATGGTCTTAGCTTACTTGCCAAACATCATCAACTAGATGATATATAGGGAAAGGTCAAGGCTAATACCATTGCGTTCCTTATTAATCTGATAGCTTAACGTGTTTTGTCGAACCCAAAGTATCAGATCTCTTCTAATTGTATCAATCTAAAACTTAATGACCCATGCTACCTTTTGGTAAATGAAATTATTAATAAGATGTAGCAAAAAAAGTTGTGGTTCATGTTACGATGTCTAATTTCATAGCCTACTCTCTCACTCACTCTCTCTATGTGCATGTTTACAGGACACTCTCCTTTCAACAGTATCAGGTTTCAGAAATAATTTTTTGGTTCACAACTTATTGTGCTGTGTAATGAACAATCTTGCATTTATAAATAGTGTTTCGACATCACTGTATGAACTAGCATCCGAACTCTGGATGCCTGAATCCAAAGAAGCTGGCCGTCACGGCACAGCAGAGATCCTCATGTCCATGTTAACATTTTCGATTAAAAAAAGGTATATAGGTATGCCACGGCCAAATAGTTGCATCATCCTACAACATATCTTATGCATAAATGTTGAGAGTTTTTTTTCTTGCAATTTCTTTCGACGCTGAACAGCTGCTTATCTTTTCCTTTTTTTTGGCTAAAGTTCTTTTAGGTTCTTTGCCTGCAATTTGTCTTGACACTGAACACGTGGAACTGCTTATCTCGGAGTAGTAGCAATTCTTTACATGGCTATTTGGTGAAGCTGTAAGCTGCCCACAATTTATAGGGACATTCATCACACATCCTATATTCTCAATCCCCATAAAAGACCATCGTTTCATCAATAATCTCTCTCCCCTTGATCTGGAATACGGACACGGCCATTTTGATGACTTCTTATCAAGTTTTAGAAAGAGCACCTACTTAGCCTTCCCATATCTGATGTGTCCAAAAAAAAGTACTCATCATTGCTGTTTATTCTAGGATTTGGGCGCATATAAATGCCACATAACATGATTACTAGCATCTCTTATTATTTATTGTGAAGGTTTATTTCATTCAGTTGCTTGGTTTTCAACCTTATTTTCTTCAAGGAATATGATGTAAAGCTATCTATGTTCTTAACACTTCTTTTCTTTTTCAAGTTCTTATCATATATTTCTATTTTGTTACAGGCACCATAGGAATTGTGGACTACACAAATTATGATGCTATGAAATATGTCAAGTCCATAGTACATTCCTTCTGTCTTAGGGTGAATCATTTCATTCTATTATTTTTTCATGTATCTACTTTTGACCTTCTACAATCCCTCGATCTTTGATTGCTTCCCTATCTGTCATTGTTAGTTCGATCTCTTCTACAATAGCCCTAAAATGTGCTCTTAATGCTTTGAACTATGCTCTTGTCATTGACAACCCGTTGTAGATAAAGAAGTTGGATGATACTGAATTCAGAACGCTTTTGGGCGAGCCTATATAAGGGTAAGCATCACATCCTCATTCTTGGTTTAGTCCTCGGGGATCATTTATGTAGTTCGTTGTTAAGCATGCACCTTATTCTTTGGTGAAGGAATATGATGCCAAACGTGGTCGCTCCTACTCACGTGGCGAAGCCCAAGTCGTAGCTACAAAGAAAAGCGAGGGAGCCCGAGGTATGTTCTTGATCTTGAGATGTCATGGGTAACCTTGTTGATAACTAATACTAACACGGAATATATACTGCGAAGAAACCACCCAGACTCGCCGTTCAAAGATCTAGATCCCGGTCGAGGTCTGTTTGTTCCCGTTCAAGGTCTCGCATCAAAAGGACGTTCTCCGTCTAGGTAACATACACTTTATTCCAAACTTTTAGCGCTTTGAATCCTTATGTGTCAAGTTCTTTTCTGCATTGTTTTGTCCAAAACACAATATATATGCATTAGTAGAATATCCGGCCAAATTACAAATATGCCTACTACATATCGTAATTACCTGCTGCCTACTCTGGGCCCTTCCCCCAAAGGTTGCTGCTTGTTTTTAGCCTAAAACAGTGGCTAACAATCTTTATTAAAGTATCATCTTTGTTACAGAACCTTCATTGGTCTGAATATTTGGTACCTAATCATTCTCTAATAAGCACATCGGTTAAGTTCAGTTTAACACGCTTACACTCCCAAGCATGTATCAATGATGATGGCTTGCTGTACAGTCCGATTGCTTTGGGGTTCCTTCTCAAGTGCTCAGAGTCTCAATGAACGATATGAACTGCTTAGTCTGTTCTGTTTTGTTTTTGAAGGCTCAATTATCTCGCCCTTTTATTTGGGATTGTGCGGTCATCTGGGGATTGCGCATTAGGATATTGAGGATGGGATTTCCACGATTTGCTACAGTTCAGTTGGTTTTATAAGGTGTGCTTATTAATTGAGAGCTTGTATGGCAAGCTAAAATCGTCCAATTATTTTACCTAGGATTTCCACGATTTGCTACAGTTCAGTTGGTTTTATAAGGTGTGCTTATTAATTGAGAGCTTGTATGGCAAGCTAAAATCGTCCCATTATTTTACCTAGTGTCCTGTAACTGATTGACATCAGAGCTTGGGCATAAGCGCATTGTTTGGAATACTGGACATAGGAGCGTTAAGGATTGGTGATCTGGATTATGGTGGTACAGTGACTAGGAATGTACTTGGAGTTCAATGCTTGGGGAATGAGTTTTCTTTCTACCTCGGGCACACTTCAGGTGGTTGCTGTAGTTCATATATGCGCTTTTGACATTATTATACAACAATGTTACACTTGCATGGAACTGAACGCTTCAATTT